TGCAGCACATGTGATAGGACCATTGCAGCACACGTGTGATAGGAGCATTGCAGCACACGTGTGATAGGACCATTGCAGCACACGTGTGATAGGACCATTGCAGCATACGTGTGATAGGACCATTGCAGCATACGTGTGATAGGACCATTGCAGCACACATGTGATAGGACCATTGCAGCACATGTGTGATAGGACCATTGCAGCACATGTGATAGGACCATTGCAGCACATGTGTGATAGGAGCATTGCAGCACATGTGTGATAGGACCATTGCAGCACATGTGATAGGACCATTGCAGCACATGTGTGATAGGACCATTGCAGCACACGTGTGATAGGACCATTGCAGCACATGTGTGACAGGACCATTGCAGCACATGTGATAGGACCATTGCAGCACATGTGTGATAGGAGCATCGCAGCACACGTGTGATAGGAGCATTGCAGCACATGTGATAGGAGCATTGCAGCACATGTGATAGGACCATTGCAGCACATGTGTGATAGGACCATTGCAGCACATGTGATAGGACCATTGCAGCACATGTGTGATAGGAGCATTGCAGCACACGTGTGATAGGAGCATTGCAGCACATGTGATAGGACCATTGCAGCACATGTGATAGGACCATTGCAGCACATGTGTGATAGGACCATTGCAGCACACGTGCATCACACACACACTCCCTCAGCGGCCCGCTCTGTGCACACATGTTGTGGATCCATGAAAGAATCAGTCTGAAGCCTTGGAAAGCACAGACAGGCCGAACAAACGGTGACATCATTGGGTTGAAGTTTTTTCCATGTTTCTGCTTGGCTGTTGTTTACAGTTACAAGGATACACCATCGTGTTTATCAAAGGCTTTTTCAGTGAAATTAGGATTAGATGGTCACATATCAGAGGAGCACATACTGTTGATGACACATTCACCAGTTTTTTTAAAAAGGCCATGTTTGTGTTCTTATCAGGTTTGTTTCCTCTGAGATGATGTTGTTGTCCTGACCTGTGTGGCTGACTCTGCTGTCTGCTCCCAGGCCTGACCTGACCCACACAGTCTGCTGGATTATTCACACAATCTGCCTGGATTATTCACACAGTCTGCTGGATTATTCACACAGTCTGCCTGGATTATTCACACAGTCTGCCTGGATTATTCACACAGTCTGCCTGGATTATTCACACAGTCTGCCTGGATTATTCACACTGTCTGCCTGGATTATTCACACATTCTACCTGGATTATTCACACAGTCTACCTGGATTATTCACACAGTCTACCTGGATTATTCACACAGTCTACCTGGATTATTCACACAGTCTGCCTGGATTATTCACACAGTCTGCCTGGATTATTCACACAGTCTGCCTGGATTATTCACACAGTCTGCCTGGATTATTCACACAGTCTACCTGGTTTAC